CCCGGTGTAACCATACTACACACACAAGCACATACAGGTTCAGGTGAGATATCTGGGAAGGATGCTAACCTGAGTCGGTCTGTCATCTCTTGCCTTCACCTGAAATACTTCTGGTGCCACATTATGCCAGGGGGCGGGAGGGGGGGAATATCTATGCTTTGACCCATTTTTCCGTCATGTCTGAGTGATAATGAGAGACCAGGGGACTATTTATCACTGTGGTGAATGAAGAACATCTCCCAGTGCCCACGCTAATTAAGATTAAATTTATCTCTGCTGTCCTATACATGCCAAATTTTAAACTAATCCTCAAACAGGAATTGTATTACTTTCTTCATAATTATTTTTTTCCTTTATTTTGAGCAGCTCACTCATACCTCCAGTAGGGTTAGGCAGTATTATGTATGCATGTATAATATATACATGTTCACACACACGCACGCATGTAATGCAATATAATATAATATAATATAGTGTGTAGTGATTAATTGGTTGATTGATATTTTATTGAGCCCTGTGGGGAAATTCTCTTTTCGCCTCTCTCAACTTTATAACATAACATATAAAATACCCACTATGTGGATAAAAGTGTTGAGATGCCTGGCCATCACATATACTGCAACTTTTATGACATCCCATATATGTATGTGTCACTGTTTACACATATTGTATATACACTCAGCAGGTGGTAGTGGGCACGACGACCCACTTTTGGCTCCAGAACCGGGTTTGAGGATTAGACTGGTGCACCAAGCTGCTATTCCCACACTTTTGGCTTCCTATCAGCTTTAACGAGCCTGGCCGTTGTCCTCTGACCTCTCTCATTAACAAGGTGTTTTCCGCCACAGAACTGCCATCCGCCAGGTATTTATCGCACTATCCCCCGTGAAGTCCAGACGCCGTAGCGTGTGAGAATCCCAGGAGGGTGACTGTTTCTGAGACACCAGGAACACCCCTTCTGGCAGCAGCAATCATAACATGTTTAACATTTCTTAGATCTAAAATTACTTGTATCTTCGCCACTCTAATGCTTAGCCAAATGGTAACTGAATCTCTTGACCCAGTGCTGTGTGTAAAGAATTTTCTGTTTGCAGGTATATCTAATTAACTGGCCTTATATAATTATAGCGTGTATATATGTATATGTGTGTATAATATGCATAATATAGATAATATAAACAGACCAGCAGACACATGAGGGACCGAACGGGTACATTGTTTGTATAATTCTTGAATAACTCTGGCCAGCTTCTGTCTGTCTTCAGCCCCTTCCAGCGTATGACACCAGGTTCTGTTATCCCTGTGATGCTGTTAAAACGGTTGCTCAGAAATGCATTAAAGACATATTTTTGCAGCTTGTTATTTTACTGTGCTGAAAGAATAGCCTTAGTCCTTTGTGGTGCTGGAGAGTGTTTAAACAATGCAGTTTCCGTGTAACAACATAACATACAGGCTCCTGTTACGACTGGGCTGCATTTTGTGTTTATTCTGCATAGTTAGGCTCCGCACAGCAATGTCCAGGGTTAATCACTACATCCCAAGGAGAGTCCGTAGGTGCTGTGATAGGGCCTTTTTTAATTAAGCCAAGGGTGGTTGTTTTTTTTTTGTCATTAGTTTTTGTTTTTTGGTGTTTGAGGAAAAATCTTCAGATATTTTCCTGGCAGGTTAATTTTTTTTTCCCCATTAGGAAAAAGTTGATTTTTATGAGCCAGTTGGGTTTTGTCTATTTAATAAGTTTTTGGGTAGAGAAGCTTTTCTCCCCAGAGTACACGCTCAGAAATGTGTTTTCTTTGGGTTAATTGGTGCTTGTCACCTTTTTTGGCAAATGAGAACACTGCATATTTTTGCATTTATTTAAAATCCCTGTTATTCAGAGAGATATTCTTATAAACACTAGTGATTATATATTGCTTAGCATTGTTAACTGGCAGTTGCCATAATCGTTTGATTGATAGCATATGCAGAATGTTTGTGTTATTGTGGCACAGGGATATTATGTCCATACATTATCCCCATTACAGCTGAATGACTGCCTGCTTAATTCATCTCGTGCAATGTGGTCTCACAGAGGAGCCGATTCTAACATGTGGTTAGGAGCTGGTGGTTAAGTGTGAGTGGTGTCAATCTGTCGATCCCACAGGCTGTGGAGTTTCTGCCCCCCCCGTCTCTATTAGCATGGGGAACTAATTACAGGCATCTCTGCATAAAACTGATGTAAGTAAATTAGGACTTGCGCAAAAAGAGAAGAGATGCATCGATTTTACAGAAGTGCAAACTCAGCAAGGTCACATGTGCCAGCAAGTAAATTTGCACTTTAGTTATTTAATATGTGTTCTTTTGGAACTTACATATTTCTAGTCTACTTTTGACGAATGTGTTTTTTGCTGTAACTTATCTTGAATGGTATGGGAAGGTAAATCCGATTTATGTAAAATTAGACTTTAGGGTGTGTGGACCAGATTACTTGTATCAGCTGAGAACTGCCTGTATGTTAATGTTAGCTGTGGTGCTGTATGGCTTCAGTACAGCTTGGGAAATGTACACTATGAGATTTTCAGGGGATGTATATGTATGCAGTTCTTTTTTCCTTGTGTTATGTACCTTTTTAAAATGAATTTTAATTCTGCCTTTGACTTGTAGACGTGCTTGTGCATTAAGAGTCTCCTGCTGGTTTAATAGCATTTGGAGATTAACCGGGATCATTCAGCCCGGCAGCAGGTGCTGAATCATTCAGGTACCGTGAACAGTGTGCGGCGTTACTGTGCTACCAGCAGAGCGAGAGCCGTGCTTTGGGACAGATAAGACTCAGAAGCTTTTCAGGACGTTCGGGCCACCGTTCAAACACTGGGGACACGTCTGCCTGAAATCACCCACTTTATTTTTTCCATGGATTCTCATTGTGGTTAAATGTGCCGTTTAAGTTCAGCCTTTGATGAAACAGATCTGGAGTCTCTCTACTACCTCTGTCCACATTAGAGAATTAATGCCCCCGCCCTTGTTTCATCGTTTCCAAGATCATCCATCCATCCACCCATCCACCCATCCACCCATGTTCTAAATGCTTATCCTGGTCAGTTATGGAGGTCTCTGGACTTGTATTTTCATTATCATGTTTATTGTTATTGTTGTTTGCTTGTCTGTTTGGGGATTGGTTTTATTCCTGTCTTGTAAACCAGACTGTTTTCCCAATGCACTCCATTGCTGTGAATCACAGCAGCCCTGCACGTCTGTCGCACAGGAAACGACTGTAATTTAGGTGTCACCGGCTGTGAGATGTGGTCCTAACCTTCTACAGGATGAATACCTTTTATGTCAGGGAGTTCCAGTCGTGAAGGAATCTCCGTATCTCTCTGCCTCCCTCTCTCTCGCCTTGATCTAAACCACTGTGGAAATGTTGACATCCGTGTTAAAATTGCTTCACTCTTCATATGTCTTATCTTGGGCTTAAATGACTTTTGTTACGAATTTGATCTGTCTATCTCATGCTGAGGCTGCAGATCCTTTTCATTCATTGATATGCCACGTATAATTCTATTATCTACATTCACTGTAATTCTTTATCCCCTCCTATGTGACTGTGGTTAATGTCTCCTTATTCTGCATGCTGTCAGCTTCTTAAGAATTGTGTGTGTGTGTGTGCGTGTGTGTGTGTGTGTGTGTGTGTGTGTTGTGAAAAGGGCTAGAGAATGTTCAAGGCAGCATGGGGTACAAAACCAGGCAGCGCACTGCACATGAATGTCCTCATAGAGCATACAGTCACACACCAGGGGCAATACAGAGATACCTCCATGTCTGTGAAGTGTGGTAGAAATCCAGTGCAACATGCAAACTCAACACATACAGTGGGGATGTTATTCAAACCCCTCACTCTAGGGGGCGAGAGCGTACAGCCCTATCCACATGTCTGTCCTTGTTGTATTCCGTGATGTCATGATGAAGGAGAAAATGTTTTACTGCTCGTGGTTAAGTTTGTATTGATAAATCACCGAAGGGGGAGAACTTGTGCTGTATATCAACCCCACAAGCATTCTGCTCGGTGTCAGGAAATGGCTGAGTCAGTAGGGCTGGTCCAAATGGAGAAAAGAGATAGGGGTCCATTTTTTACGTAGTGGTGGTCTGTTTTAGTATGCCTGACCATCATTACCTACTGTTTTTAAATGTGGCAAAACATTCTTTAAGTATGTAAGATGGGGGGGGGGTAAAAATGAGGTTTAGGAATCATAAATGTTCCATTTGCTAAGAGGGATCTTAGGCTATAGCCTGGGATAGCTAATGCATTAATCTGCCCCTGATGTTTATGGGCTGGACCACTGGACCCCCCCCCCCTGCCCCACCTACATCATCAAACATTTTTCTTCCTTCAGTGGACTTTTCTGATTAATTTTTGCTGCATCTGATAAACAGCCGTTGGTGGCTCTGGACCATGTGGGAAGTTCGCCAGACTGGCGACTCTGTTATTTATACCCTAAACTGTACTTGTCACTAAACGCTCAGGGACTAAATACGTCCTTTAGGGGGAGGTTTCCTCCCCTTAGCTGCCACATATGGATTGGCAGTGAGATTTCAGGTGTACAGCACTGTAACTGGATTCCCTCTGCAGTGGCCCTCGCTGTCCTGGTTCTGAGGCATTGTTGTGCTTTTGTAAATCATCCTTAAGCACATTCTGTGAATATAACTGAAGGCATTTCTTATGTTCTTTCATTGAAGGTGCCTGTGACTTTGTATAATTTATGCATAATGTAATTGGTTAATGCTGTCTCATTAGTTAGTGTTTTTAATAAGGACATAGCAGCATTAATCCCATTGACAAGCATGCCATTGACTATCATAATTTATTAAGTAAAGATTACTGGCAATCTCAAGTTATTCACTCCTGGTGGCCTTAAAGGTGGCCTTTTCTGCCAGAAAGTTCCGTCTATTGTTTGGCTCTTCAGTCTTTCCAGTGCCACGATTATTGTTGTGATGTGAAAAAAATTGTAACAAGCTCTCTTTGTTTGCAGGATTTTCTATGTCTCTCATGACTCGCAGGACTTGAAAATCTTCAGTTATATCGCCAGAGACGGACAGAGCAATGTGTTCCGCTGTAACGTGTTCAAGTCAAAGAAAAAGGTAACCTTTTCCGTCAAGCGTTGGCATTGTATGTTTCCAGCTACTGAAGCTGCTGCTTATATAATATGGCTGCATTGCACACTTTAGCATTTTGTTTACAGAATGTGAGCTGTAAGGAAACATCCTGCTGGGTTGTGACCTCGTTATATCAAAGATAGAAAAAAATCTTAATATTGCTGTATACTATGTGGGCCATTAAAGTGGTAATAGCTGATTTTTTTCAGTCAGGTTACTATGCAAATTACTATTGTATTTCACAGCGTACTCCCTGATTTCTAGCAAAACATTTTTGAATTTTGATTGAAAAACTGATATTTGAATTGCTTCTGTGGTAAACTAACAATATTTAAAGTTTGTGACCATTTGCATAAGTTCCTTAAGTTTCCTAAACTGAAATCCTACTGAATTTCCTTAGTGGCATTGAGTTTGCTTTCATGGAAGAAAATAGAATTAATTCAGATCTCCCTATCTGCTTGTTAAATGAGCGCGACCCCCAGGAATCGATAATGACGTTAAAGGTGGTGTGGAGGAGAGCCCTCATGAATTTCAATGACTTCGGGTTGTCTGGTTTAGAGGACGGAGAAGCAGGTGGGTGGGACCTCAGATTCGGGGTTTCGAGCCTCCTGATTCCTCCCCAGCATACTCACTTCGTGGTGGGGGAGCGGTGTGTCCCTCTGCAGGGTTAGGATGCCATGGTTGGGGTCAGAAGATCATCAGTCCAGATTCCTGCAGCGTGATGTCACAGTCGGCCCCTTGAGCAAAACCCTTTAACCCCAGTTGCTGCAGGGTTGCTGTCTGTCTCTCTGCATTCTCGAAAATGTACATCGCTTTGCATAAAAACATTTCCTAACTAAATAAAATGTAAATGTGTTACTGGCGGCTTCTTATGGTTCCGGGTCAGGCAGAGTTGTGTTCCCAGTCCCATCTAACCGCGATTTTACCCGTTTTACCTCTCCATAATTTCCTCGTCAAGCTGCCCCTTGCAGGACCATCGGCCATGTTAATAAAAAGCAAACAGCAGACCTTGTTAATTCCATCCGTGGCCTGTTACTGCTTTATCATATAGGCCTATGTGGGCACAAATTAATATGGGAATGAGGGTCCTCAAATTGGCTTGATGATTGCTTTGTGGATTGTCGAATTTCCAATCTATTTTCATAAATGCTTTAATATTACACTTAAGATTGAATTGTCTGCTTGTATTGTTTGCCCAAATGCAGATAAATGCATGACCAGTTTTCGCCATAATACCTCTTCTCTCAGTGATTGACTTTCGTTTTTATTTTTTAAAATATCCTTTTAGTCTAAACTGAATTGCACAGCACTTCTGACATAGTTACTGTTCGCACTGATTTAATATATTCTTGGAGTAAGCCTGAAGCTGGGGTGGGTTTCTTGTTTCTGGGGCCCCAGAAAGTAGTGACTGCTTGGGGCCAGCAGGGGGCCAGATCTCCAGGGGCTCATGCAAATGCATGGTGTTGATGCTTGGTGTTGATGCATGATGCTGTAGCCTCACGGTTTTAGGCCTCTGGCCTCAGTTCCTGTCCCTGGATCTGTGCATGCGTGTGTGTACATGCGTGAGGGTGGGTCATGTATATATTACACTGTATATATTACATGTCCCCACAATGTGATACAAAGCTGGGATGAGGGTTTTGCCCATAGAAATGAATGGATGGTCCCCACGAAGATATCAGTACAGGTTTGCGTGTGTGTGCTCGTTTGTCCGTTTCTTCTTTTGTTCCTTCTCTGTGTTGAGTTTCTTCTCGGTACTCTGGTTCCCTCCTATAGAGGTAAATTTGAAATGGCATCTCTCTAAATTGCCCGTAGTGTGTGACCTTGTGTGTGTGAACAACTATCCTGCAATGATCTGGCATCCTGTCCAGAGTGTCCCCTGCCTCGTGCCCTGTGATGGACATGGCATCCCGTCCAGAGTGTCCCCTGCCTCGTGCCCTGTGATGGACTGGCATCCCGTCCAGAGTGTCCCCTGCCTCGTGCCCTGTGATGATCTGGCATCCCGTCCAGAGTGTCCCCTGCCTCGTGCCCTGTGATGGACTGGCATCCCTTCCAGAGTGTCCCCTGCCTTGTGCCCTGTATTTTCTGGGATAGGCTCCAGTAGGACTAGGTGATATAGACCAAACAGCATATCTCAGTATGTTTATGCAGAAGATAACTTCATGGCTAATATTCTTAATATGCAGATAGTTCTCGACTGACATAAGTAATCAGTTCCACAATCTTTTGCATAAGCCCATATCATTTAGCACACCTTATGGTAAAAAGCACAAGCCAAAAAATGTATTAAATATAATAATAATAATAATAATAATAATAATAATAACTGATACTTTATTAATCCCCGCCACCCATAGCAGCTCCTAGGGAGCGGGGGGGCTTAAGCGCCCGACTGAAGGACCCGCTGACGTGCTGAGTGCTGAGGCTCGAACCAGCAACCTTCCGATCACAGGCACAGACGCTTGGCCCTTTATTTGAAAGGGACGTCACAAAATAAAGACCAAAAATATGCCTGTATCTATGTTGCATGGGTCAAAGCATCTGTGACACAAAAGCATTTCACTCTACTATGTAACACTCTCTTTCTCTCTCTGTTTATGACATTGCTCTGAAAACAGAAGGTGAATGTTTAAAAACAAAAAAAAAAAACTAAAATCTTAATCTAAAATCTGTTTGCTAAATGGCTCTCCGAACAAACCTGACAACCACAGAAAGTGCACTTGATAACGGGAAAGGCCCCCATTTTGAGTTATTACTCTACAACAAAATAAAACAAATCAAATAAAACAAAGCAAATTATGATATGTCTAACCTGTGACCCATCTGGCAATTTTTTTAAACAAAATGAACCAAGTAATAATGATTGCTCACCTTTCCCATGAGACCCCACTAACTGAATGGTTTGATTTTCTGAATTCTGGGATTCATTGCGACATCGCGATGTCAAGTTGTTTACAGCCAGGAAGGAATAAAATAGGTTGCTGTAAAAAAAAAAATGTTGCTCGTACTGTTTTACCGCATAACAACAATGTATCTATATAAATGGTATTGTCTCATCCTCTACCTAGTTTGAAGATGAATATATCGATACACCTTCAATTTCAATGGTCCCATTTAGCCCTAGGATCCAACCTCACTGTGTTCCTCTGCTGGACAATCACTCGTGGAAAATGGATGGATGTTTTGTGCATGTACTTTAATCATAGAACAGAATTCCAGTACATTTCCGGTTTTTTACCATTAACTAGACACATGCATAGCAGGCAGTGATGAACTGTATCGATATGCTGATTAACTGTACAGTTTCAGTTTCCACCTTAGATTTTTTTTTTTTTTAGGTCTTACTTCCATGGTGACACATTGATTGGGCCACTTAAAGCTGGTCTACTTCTCTTCTAGTCCCAGAACCCCTTCCTTGTCTTTTGTGTTTATGTTCTGACAGCGTCATGGCCATTTATAAACCTCCTAGTACATTTTGAGCGACTTTCCTCTTATGTCACATTCCGGTTTGAAACAACAGAGCAACAAAAAAAAAACCATCACAGAGACAAACATATAAACGCAGTATAATAGCCGCAGCCACACCGTGTTTTGACTGCGTCACCAAGACGGATCTATTTCAGTGGAAATTTGTTTTCTGATAGAGGTTCTATAGTGGTGGCTGCTCTTCATAAATACTACGCCTTCGGGGAGTATGAAGTCCATTCGGTCTGGGGTTTTGAAGACCTCTCAAAGGAAATTACTGACCACCTTTGATAATAATGGCGTCGCATAGCCCCCGCTAAAGCAGCATTGATGGGTCTCTTTCAGTTTTATTTCACCTGCTCGCTTGATTTATGCCTTTAATTGTGATATTATTTAAAGGAGAACGTAAGGAGAAGAAAGGTGAGGCATTCATGAAGAACAGGAACACAGGGGTGATGTTGCTCCTGCCTCATGTCCGCAGTGTTACATTCCTGGTAGCATCCCACAGTAAAGAAGCACTGATTTTGTTCTTTAAGCATCTCTATCTCTCTCTCTATCTCTCTCACCTCCTCCCCTCCTCTCTCTTTCTCTCTCGCTTTCTTTTCCTCCCCTCCTCTCTTTCTCTTCCCACCTCACTCGCTCTCTCTCTTTCTCCCCCCCCTTCTCTCTATCTCCCCCCCCCATGCTACAATTTCTCAATGCGGATCTCCTCACATAAGATGCGTCTGCCTGCACGATAATATGGAGGAATGCCGTCAGCAGGCCAGAGAGCCGACCATTCTCAGCTTTATTTTATTTGGGCTTCTGCATACTTCCTCAGAACATTCCAGAAATACCCGCAGTAATAAAGCAGAAGTTAGCACAGTTGAAGCCACAAAAAGGAGGTTTTAAAGATGGAAATGGTCCTTGTTTACACGGGTGGATTAACTTATCTGGGGCCCCTAGGCTATGACATCAGCATGGACACTCAGGTGTTGCTGATTTAACTGACTGTACCATTTTTCCTGGGGCGGGCCCCTGATGTTTGCAGGGGCCTAAGGCTACAGCTGAGGACAGCCTATGAATTAATCTGATGTCTGACTTCTTATATTATTTGTGCAGTTAAGCATGGTAAAGTGTGGGCAGAATTTTAAGTGTAAAAGTGAAAAATGAAGAGGAAGGACGTCAGAGCAAATAAATGACACTGAGGCACATCTGTGGCAGCATGTGTCTTTTTTGTGGGGCTTGGCACCATGCCAGAGAGATACTCACCCCGATCTGAAGTGCTTTGACCCATCTGGCTGGCAGCGTGAATGCGTTAAATGAGACGTACGCCCGTGCCAGGTCCCGTTAACGAGCCGCTCTGTCCTGCCCGCCCCAGAGCCAGGCCATGCGCATCGTCCGGACCGTGGGCCAGGCGTTCGAGGTGTGCCACAAGCTCAGCCTGCAGCACACGCAGCAAAACGCCGACGGCCAGGAGGACGGCGACAGCGAGAAAGCCAGCAGTGACTCTGGCGTTCCAGGTAGCTACCATCTGTGCATCTGTCTGCCGGTTCAGGTCCTTTTTTATATTTTGTTGTTCACCTGCCCCATGTCAACATCACTATTTCAGCACCTCAGGAATTAGTTCCCATGACAGCTTGCTGCCGTTTCCAGACTGTCAGTCACTGGCAGGTTGCTAAGCAGCATTCTGTATTTTTATCTCCCTTTGAAACAGTGCAGAACCAAAATCCCATGCCCTGCAGATTCTTCATGAAGTTCTGTTGACCATTAAGTCACTGTTACTGGGCAGCAGGTGAATCCTCATGCTTGTGAATTTGAGAGCTTGCAAATGCTGCCTCTGACATTTACGCCAAAGTGTCGCCGGGAGTGGGATTGCCATCTCTGGGGCTCTGCTCAGAAAGTCACTTCGCGGTTCTCTGCCATCTGTGTTCGTAAAGTTTACTGCATCCTCATCAGGCATTTCATTGCTTATGGTGAAGAAGCTGGTCAGCTTAGGCTAATCTTCCACTAGCCGCTTCCTATCTTTCTTGGCGCTTCATTGCTCCATAGAATGTTAACGTTAGCTAGCGAGTAGAGTCAGAAGATCGTGGCTAGCTAGCTGGCTAACATTACAGGTCAGTAGTGAGTATTTGGGACCATCTCCATACCATGTTCCTGCAGTGGTTACTGGGGTCAGAATCAGCCGGGATTCCACCTCTGAGATTTCCCTGCTCCGGTCCCCCGGTTCAGCCAGCGTCAGCGTGTCGCGTGATGAGCGGTCCGCCTTTTCAGTTCGGCATTTGACAGGTGCGGAGAAGACGGTCACCGAGGAGACGGACATAGACGCGGAGGAGGCGGCGCCGTCCGACAGCACCGTCGGCGAGTTCAACCGTGGCGTCACAGACCTGGACATTGCCAAGGAGGAGCAGGCCGCCGACCCGGATAAGAAGGTAGGCCGCTTCGCTCTGACCCGATGGTCCTCTGGCTACAGTAACTGACAAGACGACGGCTCCAAGGTGTCACCCTGTCAGTTTAATCATGACACGGGTGGCTGGGTCTTATTAATGTGAAGCAGTGTGTCCGAGTGGACAAACCGCCTGATGATCGTTTGGTTTCTATTGTCACCTTCATGTATTAGTCAGTTAGGCCTCTGTGCCATCGATCAAAAGGCTGTCGGTTCAAATCTCGCGCTCAGCAAAACAGTCACATCATCACTGGGCCCTTGAGCAAGTCCTCTGACCCCCAAATGCACCAGATAAATACATAGCCCTACACTTATTAATTACCTGCTGCCTTGTACAGATGACTCTATGCTACTTTTTGTATGATTGTTCATTAATTTGCTTTTATGAAAAGATGGAGTCGGGGGAGTCCAGTAGAATCTTTGTCCTCTGGGACACTAGTTGAAAACAGATGAACGGGACGTTCAGTGTCATCTTGCATGCCGGAAAAGAGTCATTGAAGAGAGAGAGAAAGAGAGAGAGAGAGAGAGGTTTTCAGCAGGGGTCTGATGGACCTGCAGTGAGCCTCAGATCATTACTGTCAGCCCCAGCTCCCAGTTTTCGGCCCGGTAATAAAAGGCAAGGCGGGTCTCAGGTGTCCGCATCTCTCACCAGGAAATGGATTATTATCTTGGGAGCCTGAGCAGGCAGCCGCCTGCCTTTGTTTAGCACGGATACCGTGGCAGTGCCAGAACCCACAGTTATTGTTCTGTACCAAGGACTCTGTGCTGCTAATTTACATGGCTGACAGAATGTGCATTTGAGCTGGCGGCCCCTTAATTCCGGGCCGGTTCTAATCTGATTCGTTTGTATATAAGATGTAGATAAGATGAACTTTATTGATCCCAGGGTGGATTTCTTGCGCACTGAGCAGCGAGGTAGATAGGGAGGCACAGATGAACGAAGATATACTGCGAAAGAGACAAAGACAAAAACAGCAGACATAATACAAGCAAGTAAACATGGTGCAAAGCAATTAAAAAGTACATAAATATAATATCCTGAAAGACAGCTTATTAAGGAAGTAAATCATTCAAGTAGAATATGTAAATTAGCCTATGGTATATTAGGAAATAAAAAGCAGACTTTTAACGATGGGATGGTTCCTGATATGTTGTGTCTGGGAGTGGACGTCAGGAGGGGGCGCTGTTGTGCCCGATGGCAGCAGGTAGGAAGGATAACCTGTAGCTCTTCTTAACACACTGGAGGCGCAGTGAGCTGGCCGAAGGTGCTTCCTGCACTTCGTGATCAGAGCGACAGTAGGGTGTGGGCTCACGCCTGCAGGATTTCAAGATTTCATCGCATCTGGAATTCTGTGCGTGTGCATGTTCTCCCTGTTGCCCCCTTACTCTCAGCGAGTGAGTGTTTACACCCCTTGGAAGGCACTGGCTTCCTGTCCAGGTAGGGTGACCAACTAATCCATGTTGGGGGGGGGGGGGGCACTATGAGCTGGGACAAGGTTTGTACCATCTCAATTAAAAAGACCTGGATTTCATTTTAGCACTGAGTTCTTGCTGTGTGCTGATTGGTCAGTCTCCTATAATCATGCATGTGTCACTAATGTTAATGTGAAACAGCTGGATGAGTCTGTCAATCAAGGAAACAAACCAGTAAAGGCACAAGGAGAATTGAACTAATTACCCAAGAACAGGAGCCTTTCAGGTTTAAAGTAGTTTGTAAAACCTGAAGTAGCTCATAATGTCAAAGGTGGTCACCCTATGTCCAGGTGCCTCGTTGATCATTCAGTGGATCCTAGACTCACCACCAGGTCCACCACCCTGGACTTTGATTTGATTGTGGCATCACCATGGAGCTCGTGTCACTGTTGTGACGTTTGATGCACTACCTGAGTAGTACCTGCTACTTGAGGTACCTGCAGTACACTAACGGGTTCTGGAAGCTATGGCAGGACAGTGAGACCCAAACGCTGCGTTACACAAAACCTGAAGTATTCACAGCTCAGATAAAATAAGATGACAGGTTCTTAAGTATGTGGTCTGTAGGCTTGAGTGTAGAATAAATGTGGCCATTCAGTTGACTTCAGACTGTCATAGAATACACAGCAAAGAAAGCCATTGTTTGGCGCAAATGTTTTATGGTGGTCAATGAATCTATTCTGTGAATAATGGATAAAAATCAATGCAGTCATTCTAGCTTAATGGCAAAAGGCTATAAACTAACAATAGGCTATTAGGGTTGAAGAATGGACTAGCATAAAAGCTGACTAAGCTACAGGAGCTTTGGCTTAAAGCAGCATTTTACATTAGCAATCAGTCACAACAATAATACATTACCAATATTTTAATACTAGTTAATAAAGTCCATAGATTTTGAAAAGAGTGATGCTGTAAACATAAAAGTGGTTGCAGAAGGGAAATTAAATTCACTGGGGTTAAATAAAAATTGAATATATGTGACTCCTTAAAAATAACAGACGCATAATCGTTAACGAAAGCTGGTTCAGTCCTGCAAAAAGTTCTACGTCTCAATGACTTGGACTCCATTCTCTCTGTAATTAATCTCGGTAGTAAAACCTGATTCCAGCATTCATTAGAAATATTAAGAATAGATTACACAAAGCCTTTCTTGGCACCGTCGTTCATTTGTAACACCCTGTCCGGTTACGCTCGACTCCCCTGAGAAGGTATGCTTAACCCAGCAATGTTAAACTCCTGTGTGCTGCTGAAGACTGAGAGATGACCTCATGTATTTAACATTTTCTGAGGATAATTACTACAATTCCAGCACAAAAAGATGACACAGACGCAGCTGGAAAAGGGTAGGGTGTTAAACGTGTTTTATCTGCATGCTTTTTCCCCTCACTGGCTAATAGGAACAAAGTTTTGTGCTTTAATGTGATGTAATGAGTGATGTTTTCAGTCAGTAATTACATGGAGCCAGTGGGCTGATGTGTGGTTCTGTGGGTCAGGTCTCTGCGGCTGTGATCGGAAGGTCTTTGGTTCTAATCCTATCCCAAACCTGTACTCTGTCCCCAAACCCCTCTCTCACCTGTATATGGTTGTGTGTGTGTCTCAGAACAAGAGCAAACTGTGTGTAAGGTGTGTGGAAGCTGAAGTGTTACAGTGTACTTTTGCAAATGGCAAATGAAGCATTGCTTGGATGTAGAGAAGCATTTGTGTGGAAAGGAAGGTTGCAAACAACATTAGATGCTGTTAGATCTTTATCTCGGGGTTTATATAGAGGGCAGTGCTGGTCCTTCTATAAGGAAATGAAAGGGAGCCCCCCCCTCCGATCTTCTGCAGTACTCATATTGTTCAGCCGGGTTTTTTCGGGACATCTGATATGAAGCGTCTGACAGCTGAGAAACAAGGTCCGGCCCGGTTGGCAGCTACCCAGACAGGGGGCCCGGCAGCGACACGTCCTGGGGGGCCTCTAGAGCTGATGGGAGGAAATGAGAAGGATACCCGTCGTTTGAAAGGAAGCAAGGAGGAAGCTGGGGAGAGTCTGACATGAATAATTCACTGTGTACCTTTCACGTCCCACACTGAAAATCCAGCATCGGCTGCTGCCAGTTGCCAGCTAAGTCGGACACGTACATGTTGTTTTGTGGTTAGTAGATGTTTGCCATTCATTTTCCTTTAATTGTGCACTTTATTTGCATAAAACACTGATAAGTTTGCTTAATTTACTGTAGGCTGGGCAGAATATTTGTTATGAAGATTAATTATGAATACCATAGTGATGTGGGAGTGTAAAATAATAGCATGTGCCCTGCGGCAGGACAGATCGTCTCAATTGTCTAAGAACCCGCACACAATGGAGCGTCGCACATTTGTTTGTCAGTAAAATTGACGTGTATTATGAGTGTCAGTAACACAGCATATTTGTCCGTTTCTTCTCGACAGTGTTTATGTTGTGATATCTTTGCCTTGAATCCTGACTTACAGAAAACTTTTTCTATGCATGGGATGACTCCAGAAGAATAGTAACAGTATGAAATTTGCCCTAACTTCCAGTATGAACCAGAACAGAAATGCCTGATGATGACATCAGAGGGGCATTTTATTACTTGCTGTCCAAGTGATCCTTTATTTGTTGAAAGTGATCAAGATTTATTTATTTTTTACGAACATGATCTGGTGATAAACGGCTCAAACGCCATGGCTTGGCTGTCCCTGCTGTAGGACGCGTTAGGATGCTGTGGGCCATGTTCATGTGTGATACTTCTTCTACACCAAAATCTGACAGCAGAATCACAGCAGTCTTTTCACTCCAAATAACCATACCAGAGAAAGCACTAGATTAGTTTTTCTTTTTGTTCCTTTGTAATTCTCTGACTTCATGGTAAACAGGTGAATAAGCTGAATTTTGTAACAAGCAATACCATATTTGACTGTAACACGCTGGACCACTGGCCAGCTTTTGGTTGAAGCTGAGCTGTTGTATCAAGCATGCAATATGTAATGAAACGTACATCTTTACCACGTTGTCATTGTGACATTTCACGCTGATTATTTCATCTGCAAGAGCGCTGTGTAATTCATGCTTAAATATGTCCGTAATCTCAGTTCCTTTGTTTTGCTTCTGGCTGCATGTTTATTTCAGGCACCTTTAGTCATTATGGCCTATTATAAATCAGCGTTTCATAATTAACTTTTTTAGTGTTACCATGGACCATGTCGGCAAACAATACCAGCTTGATTAGGGGGATTGTTGGGTGTGAGTGAATAATTCAGTGGTGTGTGTCCCCCCTCCCCACACATCCTGTAAGGATTATGCATATGCAGGGGAGGGGTGCCTGAACACCTGTCCTTTGTGCCCGACCGACTGAAAGAGTAACCACCCCCCCCCCAGCCAAGGATCACGCCAAAATTACTTTTTTGAATCTGTTTTGAAATCAAGTTCATTCTACAGTTTTTATTTTTATTTGTTTTTTTCTTTATTTTTCATGGAAGGGGGGCATGTCAGGGGGGAGTTCCAGATGATCA